GCTAGGCTGGCATTATAGTTCATAAAAGATAGCTTGATCTCTGCGACAGCTGTCAGTAAAATCACGCCTATGAAGTGCACTAATTAGGTCGGCATGCCCATAAAGTATGACATTGACAGGTACTGTCTGTACTACTAAGAAATTCAGGACTTCATAGGCGTGATTTTACTGACAGCTGTCGCAGAGATCAAGCTATCTTTTATGAACTATTATAGATACACAAAAGAATGACATTCGGTACAGGGTGGCTGAAATTCGAGCCATTACGCCTTTTTTATTTATCGTTGTTTTTGAAATTGTTCTTGTAATATTATAATTGATAATGAATGTTCATTACATTTTAAGATATATCATCATCTATCGATTAAAACAAGATTATAAGAATATTGTGCGTTTATTATAATAGTACGAATTTCTAAAGTTGAAATTGGCATTAAAAAGCTGGTAATAGAAGCATTCACCCATGTGGTGGTGAATAGTTTTGGAAACAGTAATGGTAGTGTTTCGTCAAAACTATTAAAATAGTATTTAAAACAAATAATATTTTCTAAAATATATTATGAATATATTAAACACGTATTTCTTTAAGCGAGCCAAGCGCCAGACCTCTTTGACACTACTGTCGTATAGGTACTATTTCGTTCGTAAACAGGACATAATGATAAAAATATCCCGCATTTTTTAAAACGGAGTAAGGGTGACAAGTAAGCACATAGTCCACCTGATGGTAAGTGGATACTGTGGCCCGTAGGCATCCACATTTATCCTTAATTAAGAATCAAAATGCACATGCGTTGTCAACCCTGAGGACTGAGATGGAATGCTTCTCCGGTTCTCAGCAGCAGCAGTAGAAACACAACAGCATTAAGCTGCTATTTTACGGTGGTATGCTGTGAGAGCGTAGTATAGCTATGCCTGGTTCTACCACGTAAAAAGTTTTAGCACTTTTAGCATTTACACCATAACCACAAGGCAAAATAAAAAATATGCTTCATGAATTCTAATTTGAAACATTTGTAAACAAACAGTAATTAACGGCTTGATTACGCAGTGTTGAGCGTTTGTTAAACACGGCTCAGTGGGCCGTGGGTTGTTTCATTTACGAACGAGACAAGTGTTCGTGTGACCAACTAATAATTGTTCTAAGCTTGGGTGTGTATCCCTGTGTATGTGTGTATTTCAAATACCTTCACAGAAGAGTAATTCCCAGTTTCTGATATAAAAATTATACAAACGAAAGCGTTTTTTTATAAAATAATCCTGACAAGCAAGCGGACAGTTCATCCATTGGAAAGTGTATGTTGTCACGCAAGGACCTACATACATCTATCAACAATTAAAAATCAACATGAGAATTAAGGAATAAAACTATTTATACGGATTTTATCGCGTTTTATTACCTCATTTTTAAACCCAATGTTTTAGGTGCTTTACAGTACACTGTGTATAGGAAAAAGACCCATAGCAACCGCTATTTAAATGGTGAATCTCACCATCATCCTTCACAGTTAGCTACCGTAGGTAAATCTTTGTTTCAGAGAGCATAAGGGATCTGTGACTGTGTGTGTCGCTGAGCTGAGTAGCACGTCAAGCAAGTATTGCAAAACCAAGCTTCGGGTCCCGCGGCCATGTCTGTACTACTAAATGTGAGAGGAGTCACAGACAAAGTTGGTTACATCTTAAAACAAACTTCAATTACAAGTTACAACATACTACAAGCCGCTGAAGAAGATTGGTCAATTTTTACTATTCATCAAGTGTAATATAATATACCTTCACAAGATGCAGGAGTAGCCGGGCTAATGACATTGGGACGTCAAACATCTCAGTCCCCCCCCCCGTAACTATGGGTGCTGCAAAGCACCCGAAACACAGGAATTAAATATGAGTTAATTAAACGAGATAAAATCCGTATAAATAGCTTTGTTCAATGTGTAGTGTTCGTGTAAAAATGCGAAATTATTCTCCGGGATTTATTTATTTATTAGGAACGTATTACACAAACATTGCTTAGCTTAAGCGCACGCACTTGTGAACAATCTTGAGTTTATACCCTAAGTTGCAACTTAGGTTAACGTTAATAGCTATTTAATAAACAAAACTCGACTCTCATATATTATTTGCTTGAGAGTCGAATGACGTTTATTGGTACGTTTAGTTGTAGGTGCGTGTAATGGAGATGCTAAAATCCGAGTGCAGGCTGTCCGTGACTTCAGATTGTGATTTCAGTAGAACGAATCATGAAGTTTGAAAATATTTTAAATGAAATTAATTATTACGATGAAATAGTGTACCTAGTATTACGATATTTTACGGAATTTGCGACGAAATTGTTTACTAAAAATTTATATAAGGGATGCCTCAAATTATTTTGAATTCCCATCTTTTTAGACGCGCCATCGATATCTCTATTTAATAACACAGCCCTTTATTTTTATAATATCGAGAAAGCATTTTCTCAGTTTTTGTGTATATTAAATTATAACGCGAGTTCAGTGATTTTATAAGTAAACAAGTAAAGAATTTAAAACCACTACGTTTTAAACAAGCAGATGTTTTATTAGTGTCGTATTTAGAAATACACAACAGTTTTAACAATTTAAGGCTTTATTAAGTAGAAAACAACTTTAGACCATGAAATATGATGATAATATTTTAAACTTCTGTCAAATTTACGTAATCGTTCACGAGATCAAGCCCTCAAGTCACAGAACACTATTCTAAGTACAACGTCTTTAAGGAGTTGGTCTTGATAAACTAAGATACTGTTTTTATGTGTTTAGTAATTAGCAACGACCTTAGGAACTTAGGATGCTGATATCGTAATGAGGGTTTATCAAATGATAACCCACTTGAGTTGGTCCAGGAACGTTTACTAATAAAACGGACCTAAATTATATTATTATAGTAAATTCTGTAACTAAGACTTCGGTTTTTTACACTCACCATATATACTTAACACAGTAGCTTATATTTGCTATTTTTATTCATGTTATTTTTATTTAATTTATGTTTATATTCCGTAAGATAATGGTCTTTTCCCAGTCGAGCCGAACCATTCTTACTGCAGCCATAACATATCTTCTATGTGGTTTACGACGTAAATAAATTAAAAATAATTCTTTTATTTAACGGTTTAAATACGACATTGAAAAATCAAATATACGTCTCGAAATGCGCATCAAATCATCAATGGATAATGCACCGTCATGAAAAATATAGAACATCAAAAGGTAACAGTTGTAAAAGGGAGACTGTCATTTTCCGGCGCATCCGTGAAAACAAAGCCTCTAGGTCGGCATCCGACTGTTTATCTAGGCTTTGCGCTATTTCTGATACACGTGTTCCTTTTGTCGCAATTAGAGGTAAAGGCCTGGTTGACAATCTGGGACGCATTGCGCTGTCTCCTTCATAAGTTGTGCTCTACTTCCATCGGGGTGCAGGACTAAGGATCGCAATCGACGACTGCCAATATTTTTTATTGGCAGCTTTCGTATTGCAGTGGACGGCTTTTGTTCACAGCATCATTGTAAAGTAGGTCCACGTGCTTTGTGTATTTTTGCATTTATTCGCTATAATTTTTATTCAAAATAACATTTAATATACTCATTTTCATAGTAGCATAATTTCTACATCCTTTGCGAATAAAATATCTTGGAGTTTCAAGCTGGGGAAGACACGTTTTTCTTCATCATCATCTTCATTATTACAGCCAATCAAATTTAACTACTGAAAATAGGCCTCCACCATAAATTGTATCATAGGGGGGATATTTGCCATAGTTGCCACGCTTTGCAGCTGCAGTTTTTTTATATTTTGAGTTGTTGTCACGAATATGCTATGTTTCATTTCCATCTGTTATCTCTAACAAGATCAATGGGTTTTTTATAGAAGAGGGAGCAAACGAGCATGCGGCTCACCCGATGTTAAGTGACTACCGCCGCCCATGATCAACCGCACACCAGGGGAATTGCAGGTGCGTTGCCGGCCTTTTAAAAAGGAGTAAGCTCTTTTCTTGAAGGTCCCTAAATCGTATCGGTCCGGAAAAAAGCGCAGAGAAGTTGTAAGAAGGGAAGAAAACTCCTAGTAAAACGCACAGTTGTGGACCGCCAAGCATCCAGATGGTGAGGATGGTATCTTGAATTCTGACGAGATATGCGTTCATGAAATTTGGAGGCTGAGATTAATCCGAACAATTCTTCAGAGCACTCGCTGTGGTAGATGCGATAGAAAACGCAAAGAGATGCAACATCCCTAAGCAGCGCCAGTGAATCGATTATCAGGATGATATAGAGTAGTGGATTCCCTCTACGATTCTTACAAATGAGATAAATAAAAATAAGTATAACGTAGACAAAATGGTTTCGAACTTTAAGTGTTTTTTGTCAGTTTAGAGTACTGTTGATGTTTTCTTTGGCAGTAATTGACACTGGCCTATTTGTCTTCGATATTTCATTAGGTATTATTTCTACAAGCCAAAGTAACAAAGAAGTAAGCAGTCTACCTGATGGTTGGTGGTTGCTGTGGCACAATGAAATTAACATCCAACCCCGTTTAAGAATCATGCTTGTAGGAATACCTTAACGTCGTTATCAGTAATAGAGACTCCAGTTCATCTTACGAAACATATCAGCATTAGGCTGCAATTTTTTTTGCAGGTGTTCTTAGCGAGTGTGGTCCTTCCCCGATTAAATAAATAAAAATAAGCTTTTAAGCAGACCGTGCCAATTTTTTAATTATTAGTAATTTCAATACAGTTACTTATTACTATTGTAGTTATATTTAAGGTTGATAACCATTGTTAAAATAAATAAAGCGATATCTGTACCTATTGTATTAACATACAAAGTTAAATTCACTCGTTTATAAAAAGTATTGATAACCGATATTCTCACAGTCTATTGGTATAAATGTGTCTAAATAAACTTTAATATTTGTTATATTACCGAAAGCTTAGTAAAATTTAAGACTAATAAGCATAGCTATGTTTTTTCTCTTACCCTATATTAGCATATAGCGAACAGTTTCTATATAGGTTTTCTTGCTGCCTCTGCTGGTAGTGTGCGTACGAAGTCATGTTCTGGTGAGCGTGACAGACTTCGGAGTGCTGTTGGGGCATTGTATTACTGCTGCACTGCCGTGACGACACGTAGTCTGAAGACTTCGTCCTAATTGTAACATAGACACCCTAGTGTTAATATTGAATCTACAATAAGAAAGATAACCTAGCATTTTTTTATAGGAAAAAGGTGACAAGCGAGCACGTAGTCCACCTGATGGTAAGTGGTTGCTGTGGTCCATAGACATCTACATCTATTCTCGATTGCAAATCAAAATGAAGATACGTTGCCAGCCTTGAGGACTAAGATGGAATGCCTCTTTTCCAGTAAAAAGGGTCTCCGGTTCTCTACACTCACCATACGAAACACAGAAGCATTATGCTGCTATTTGACGCTGGTATTCTGTGAGAGCGTGGTCCTTCCCCGGTCGAGCCGACCCATTCGTGTTACAACTATACAATTAATATAGCTGCAAACAATGCAATTTAAAATATTTGTTGACTAAACAAAGCAAAGCTACTGATAGCGTGTTAGTCATCTCATTAAATAATTTGCACGCACTCGCACACTCACACGCACGCACGAACACGCGCCCTCTCTACGCAGTGTTTATCCATCTTTAGATAATAGAAAAAACTGTGGATTTCCCTTTCCTATACCTTGAATCGAAAATTCTCAGACTGGCGATAGGGGTTGCCCTTATAAACTCGTCTGACCAGCGTGGTGAAAACAAGTACGAATCTACAAAGTGTTGCAAGCTAACGAATGCATTCTAGGTCTAAGTCCAGCAGTGGAATTGAAAAGGCTATTGATATGAAGATGAAGTTTGTTTATATATATAATGTATGTACTAGATATTTAAATGGCTCCTGCGTTGCCCGAGTTGTTAGTTAATAGCTGGAACACGCTAGTTTAAAAGCGCCCGTTAACTTCGGATACGAAAAAGATATTGTTTCGGGATGCCGGTTATATTATTTTTAAATATAAACACAGCTTTTAATATGTAGAACAGTGGAGGGCATATAATGATTTTTAGGAGACATATGACCAATTATACTTATCTTGTTTAAAAGTAGTAAGAATAATAACGAAATTTAGAAATGCTTACTCATAACGCTATAAGTTCAACAGAACATTAACAAGTAAAAAAAAAAAGAAAAAATATACCAAAAGAATTAATCGTAATACATTTGAATGAAAAACTTACCAATTGGAATTAGAGCTTGTCCGACTTTGCGGTCTGGAATTGAGATTTGCTTCAGAGTAATATGGCCAGGAATAGTTGGAAGTGGTTCGCTGGCACGCGTGAGCAGCCACGTGTGACGAATTCGAACTGGGGGACGGTTGCAATTCGCTTTGCATTTGTTGTAGAATGTCGTCGGATGCTGCCAATTGCTGTTTCATTGCTATTCCTCGGACCGCGGGTCGACGGTGAAAACCTGACAGAAACAAATGATAGGAAACATTCGATAAAGGGATTGACCTTAGAACCCTACATGGGGTATTGGGGAACCCCAGGGAGGTTTGTTTCTTAAATAATTCTGTTTATGTTACCTACATATTTGAGCTCTTGTGTATTTTAGTGTAGTGTCATCCATTACTAATCAATCGAGCTGGCATCGGCAGTCGCGCTGTCTGGACATGTTAACGAATGACCTGTGGTACCTCAGTACCCCAGTACGTACTATTTATTTTGTGCCTAGTGTAATAATACCGTATTTTTATTTTCTTAGATACTATAGTAATTATTTTCAATTTATTTAATGTATTGGTATACATCCTTTACATTGGTTTCCATCCCCCAGTTTAAGGGGTTGGGGGGTAAGAGTTAAATCTTTTTTTGCTATTTTTGTACTAATAGTAGCTTACATATCAAATTTCAGTTTTCTAGAACTTCAGGAAGTAGGTACCCTAATAATTTTGATGATGATCAGTGAGTCGGGGTTTTTTAGATATCAATAAAATCTAAAGTATAAGAGCTATGCAATTGAAACTTTATAAGTTTATTAAGTCCACTATTGTCATCACATCTTGAGATTTTTTTATCTAGTATAATCCGAATCCAAGTTATGGTGGTTCAAAAAACGACGAAGCGCTTCGACAAAAGTTAGGTAGTGTTTCTTTTTGGTTTGGTTGGCTCGTCTTGACGGCAATACCGTGCTTCCAGATATTGGGGAAAATAGGTATTACAATTGTGGAATTTTGAAATTTCATTGCATGGAAAAAAATAACAGTATTTTATTTATGGTGCTAATATATAGGGTCAATGTTACAGATCAAATATCGACAATGATTTCAAGATAACCCTTTCTAAGTATACATCAGATGTGTCCATTACTAAAAAAAAGTTGCTAGCAGTGTTTCCATACATAGGGTGCACATACTTATGATAAATTCTACTCACATATAACGTAATTCTGTACATAAGACAATCCTAAAAACTTTTGTGTATGTAGGTAGCTGCATGTTACCGAGTATAATTATGCCAAATTTCAACAATCTTTATTCAACACGAAATTATCTCTGGAGAAACGTCTGTGATAAATAGACAAAAAAAAGAAACAGAGGTGACTACAAGTGTTGGAATTTGCTAATTTAGCTCAGTACACTGACGCTCAAAGTATAACAGAAGTTGAGCAAGTGCAACTTTATACAACATGTAACAAAAACCCCGTTAATTGCGTTATCAAAATCAGTATTCAAGCGTATAGAAATATTTTTTTTTAGAAAACTCGACCATAATTTTTTAAAATTAAATTAAAATAAATTATTTCCTAATTGTATGTGGTTTTATTTCCTCTAACTCACACGAGTATCGGTAATGCGGGGTCTTTGACAATCCTCTTACTCCTTGGCCATTGCAGAGATAATAAAACCACATACAATTTGCAAATTAATTTTTGTTTAATAAAAATTAATATTTTAAATATGTTCTTTTGAAAAAAAAATATTTCTCTACGCTTAAATACTGATTCTGATAACGCACTTAACGGGAACCACAGGGTTTTTGTTACATGTTGTTTAAAGCTGTTTAATGAGGTGAAATATTATCCCACGGTTGCATTATTTAAAAGACGCCGTTAAAGCGCTTATCCTAGTTTCCACTCATTTTGCACTTTTTATATTAGATATCTTTTTAAGTATTTACTATTTATCACTATTAAGATATTAGCTAACTGTACTTATTGTTCGTATGTGACAAAAGTTTATGTGATGTATGTCAAAAAATTATATATGAGAAATGAATTATTGTTTTAATATTTCATCTGTTTAGAGATATCGGAATAAATAGTTACCATAGTCGTCATGCTCGTCGTCGCTGCTGACTGGCTGCGACTCCTGGCTGTAGCGCTGCCTAAGACGTTCTGTCCTGGGAGCAGATGCTCGGGCAAACGCAGCTAGACCGTCGTCTGTGTCGTTAGCACCTAGTGAAAGAAAAAATTGAAAAATGAAAATTCGTACCTCCTAATAACCACTATCAAGCACTCAATACTTACCAATAATTTAAAGTAAATTTGAAAATAATACCTCTTGTTGTTTTCAGGATCTCATGAAGCTTTAACAAATTTTGAAAACAAGCCCATCCATTCCATCTATCACAGCTTATAAAAGTCTACTGCTGAACACGGGCCTCCCCTTAGATATTGCCTCATAGGGGTTCATATATTTACCAAAGTTGCTTCGCTTGCCAGGCGGATTGGCAGTTGATAACAGTTCGTTGTTGCAGTTTTTTTAGTTGTTATTAAGAAGACGCTGCTGCTCAGGTCTGCTACGCTGCGTCTGCTACGCTGCGTCTGCTACGCTGCTGTTTTTTTCCCTGTGTTGAGTTTTACGACATCCACATGCCGATATGGGCTAATTGATATTCTTGCACTACTACTTCGCTCACCGGTATGCTGCCACTCGAAAACATTTTCCCCCTTAGTTGTTGGTTCTTTAAGCCATATGGTTTGCCTGTTGCCACATCAGTTTACTGATCCGTAGGGTTATGTCGATTACTCTGTTTCTACTGCGGATACCCTCATTGCGAAGACTATCACGCAGAGAAACTCCCATCATAGTTCTCTTCACACCTCGCTGTGCAGCACTGAGCTTCCTCAACGATCAGCAGTGAAGGACGTCATCTCAGATTCATATGGCATAACAGGCAACAAGCACTAATTGTAGACTGTGGATTTCAAGTTTTTAGTTATACGTGACGACATGTGCCGCATTTCTTGCTATTTTAAGAAAAAGGTATTCGAATAACGTAAAATGATTTTCTAGATAACAATATAAAGTGCTATCTTTTATTATGTATTTTATATTAAGGTCCTACTTTGAGGTAAGAACACAAGGTCAAAATAGTTTCGAAATTATTAGAGAGTAAGAAAGTTATTCTAGATAATATGTCTTTACTGCGGTTAGCTTAGTACATGAATCTTAGCGTATAACTTTACAACAAATGCCTAATTGAGTAGTAGTCAAATAGCTTGCACTTTTGTGTTCCGATATGAAGGGCATCACACATCATCATCATCATTACAGCCCTTCACAAGTCCACTGCTGAATATAGGCCTCCCCCAAGTAATGCCACAAAGCACGGTCCTGAGCCACCTGCATCCATCGACTTCCTGCATGTTTTACCAGGTCATCACTTCATCTAGTGGGCATAGAGACCCAGTATTGTATTGTACTGGCTGTGAGACATTCCGTCTTAGTCCTCAAAGGTGGCCACGCAACTGCAGCCTTGTGTCCACGGACTGCAGTCACCAATTACCATCAGGTGGACTGTAAGATTGGTTGGCACCTCTGTTTTATAAAATAGTCTATAAGGATTATAATTAATATGACAATGAGGTTTAATTTAGAACTTTTTACGCAGAATTTTTGTTACAATTTCTATTACAAATACTTCGTTCACTGCTGCCAACCTCTTGTGGTGTACTCGTACCTAGCATCACGTTCGTTCTCGATCTCGTTCATTCTTCGGTCACCGTTGCCGACGCCTACGCCTTTACCTGTGGCGCCATCTTTCGCCACTTCTTGTGACTCATAATCTTTGGCAATGTGTCCGAATGAATTGCCCTTAAAACACTTTATGCCCATTTTCCTATGTGGACATTCCGTAGACAAATGATGATTTGTTTCTCCACAGTTATAGCACCTCAAATGCCGCGTAGTACCTCGACTGCCACTACGACTCTGTTTTGGCGCGTGTTTGCTTCCCTGCTTCGAGGATCGCACGTTTTCACTGAACTGCTCATATATTTTTAGTTTTTCTTTTAGGTCACTGTAGTGGACACCGTACAGCATAATCTTGTTCCCTTCGTCGTCTTTGATGCCTTCTATTATGTATTTTATTGTAACATAATCAGGCATTTTCCCACGCCGACCCATGTCTTTCATCACGAATAGATAATCTAAGCATGTTTCGTTGTCTTTCTTTTTTCTGGCACTCATCATTTCATGCGCCGTCTTGGCATCAATGGTATCTGGAAATTCCTTCAGGAGATTCGTCTTTAGCTCCTCCCACGACTTGTATGTTTTTTCTGACCGCAACCATAGTGCCGCACTGCCACTTAAAGATCTCCTTGCCATTAGCAGGTGTCGAACCGAGGTCCACCCGAAGATTTCGCCATTGTCTTCTATGTATTGTACCCATTTGTTAGCCGGATATGTTTTATCCTGTCCGGTGAACTTAGGAATGAGCCCTTCTGACAGATGTAACATGCCGCTGCTTTGCACTGCCGAACTCGCATCTTCAAAATCCGCCTGACGACTAGCTCGTCTTGAATCCTTTGCCATTGCTCGTCTTCGTCTTGAACCCGTAAAGCGAAAATATGAACCGCGTGCACCACGTGGATAACCTCCAAATCAAACCGTCTTTGTCGTCGTAAACGTCGTAATTCTTTTTGCTCTGTTTCAATCTCAGACGAGCCCTCAAAATTTTTGTTTTGGTTAGAATGAAACACAGCTTGGTGTTTGACTTGCAGGTTTAATCTCTCTCTTCACAGCTATATCGTCTTGTCACAATGGCTTCCCGTTTGCTAGTCCCCGTCTTTTAAAATCTAGCTTCCCCTCATTCAGTCACTCGCTCATTGTTCACTCATTTTAAATACTTGCTCTTTCACTCACTTTCATACTGTCGTCTTACTATCTTTATCACACATTCATTCTGTCACTTCATTCCTTTACGTTCCGTCTCAAATTTATATATTAATTATTTCTTTAGTTATAAATTTAGAATAAACCTGGTGTTCCAGCAACAATGTCAGGAGCTGGCGCTTCATTATGCTCTTGTAGATCAAGAGTCGTGGCTGCTGAAGTAGAGTTTCTGTCTCCTGGAGGCACGTAGTAGAAGCCTTCGTGATGAGCGGCACTGCCTACGCAGGCTGTGAGCGGGGCCAGGGTGGATAAAAACTGCCTTCTTGGTTCTTGTCTTGGCTGTAGAGAAATAACGTGTGTAATTTTATGGAGTAAATTAAAAGTAAAGTAGCATGGAGGATAAAGTAGCATGGACTCATTCGTCACCACTTCCTAACAGCCGATTATACTAGATATCAGCCGCTCCCGTTATAGGTGGATTGCCCTTGGCAAGCGAATTTTTCCGTTGTAACGTCTCACTGCAGCTGTACTAATACCTAGGCTGCACTAAAAGTATCGGGAATGGAATATTTCCACTGTTCCTGTCATATTAAAATCTTTTTAATTGAAAACTCCTTGGTTTTAAAAATCGAATACCATTTATTCATTTAAAAAAAGATTCTCGGTCTTGTCACAAGGTTTTGTCAAACTTGTTTAGTCGTTGAGAAAATGGAATTGACTCGAGAAAATTCAAGAGCGATGATTTATTATGGCGTTCGAAGTGGTTTAACACAAAAACAGTGTGTTGACCGGATGATTTCTGCATTTGGTGATGAAGCCCCATCTAAAACCACAATTTATCGCGGGTTTGCTGAATTTCAACGTGGACGTGTCAAGCTCAGTGATGATTCCTGTCCAAGTCGTCCAAAAACTGCAGTCACCCAAGAAAACGTTGATGCTGTGCGTAAGCAGATAGAGGAAGATCGACATGTGACATACCGCGAAATTCAGGCAACTTTAGAGATTGGCATGAGTCAAATACAAATAATCTTGCATGAACAATTAGGTGTAAAAAAGTTGTTTTCCCGGTGGACACTGCATTCGCTCTGTGAAGAGCAAAAAAGCGGCTCGCGTTACTTACTTCCGAACTCCGTAAAGAGAACTGCAACCGCCGCATCATCGTCCATCACGACAATACGAGTTCTCACACCGCACACAGAACAACAGAGTTTTTAGAGCAACAAAACATAGGAGTGTTAAACCATCCGTCGTACAGCCCCGACCTAAGCCCTAATGATTTCTATACTTTCCCTAAAAGAAAGAATATATTACGTGGACAGAGATTTTCAACACATGAAGAAGCTGTGGACGCCTACAAAACGGCCATTTTGGAGACCCCAACTTCCGAATGGAATGGTTGCTTCAATGATTGGTTCCATCGTATGGAAAAATGTGTCGAATTTCGCGGTGAATTCTTTGAAAAGCAATAAATACATTTTTAAATATTAAGGTTGTGTCACTTCCTTGATTCCCGAAATTTTCAGTGCCCTCGTATTAATACTTATGGCTACTTTTACTTATGCCAAGAAATATAAAATGTCATAAGATTCTACTGCGAGAAAGGCTGCGCAGATCCCATGAGCTTCGATCCTACCTACGGGTAGTAGGGTTAAAATATGCGTTGCGTGTGGGAGTAAACAAACATCCATACGTGAAGATTATCAAGAGTTGAAGTCCATTAGATAGGTGTTTACTGGACGAGGAGAATATTTTGTTGGTAGATGATTCTCGTAAATGTAAAGCTATAATACTTCTTTATACATTTTGGCTACTTAGTATAGATTAAGCGAGATTATGCCATATTTGCGGAGAATGAATTGTAGTGAGCGTAACTGCGAATTTCGTTCTCACAAAATTAATTCATCCATCACAATGACACTATTGAAGTAGCAGCCGCTTCCACTCGTAAATCATTTAACGAACGCCCTATCGTACGACGTATTTTTTCCAACCACCCGCGGCCATTGAATTTACTGTTTTATTATAAAAGCAAATGTATTTAGGTATCAAAAAACGTTGATGTATTCCTTTCTCACGTAGGAATTTTTATAAACTACATGATAGATAAAATTGCATGTGGCTGTTAAATGTAAATTTTTACACTCATTGGTGGCTGTAGACAAGACCACGGTCATATAAAATACCGGTGTAAAATAGTAGAATAATACTTTATTTGGAAGCTGCGACCCACAGACGTTTATTTACATTTATCCTCATGTATGAAAATGGAGATGTGTCATCTCTGAGGACTAAGATAGAATGCCTCGTATCCAGTAAAACGGGTGCCAGATTCTCTACACTCACCATACGAAACGCAGCAGCATTCAGCTGCAATTATACGCTGGTATTCCGTGACAGCGTGGTCGTTCCTCGAACTGGGACTGTATGTTTAAGAGCCAGTGTTCGGGGAGACTTACGGTATTTCAATAAGCTTCACGTTTTTATCAGTTAATTCCCTAAGTCTGAGGTACATGAAATGGGGACTCTAGTTTGACCGGCGGTCAGTTAATTCGTTGATAAGCAAATGCAAAAAATATATATTTTTTAATTTTATTTATTAATATGACGATAATAGGCTCGTTAGAAGTATGAAGTAATTATTAACTTAAGCATTAGTAGTAAGCGTGTCGCTAAAAAAGTAAACAGAAGGCAAAAGCTTGAGAAACGATAACGTGAATTGAATCGCACATACGCATAGTTGTTGCCCATAAAAGACGTTCAATTTGAGAAAATTTCAAACGAAAGTTTATTTACTCGTATTTTCAAAAATTGTAATATTTATATATTTGAGCTTAAATATTATTTATACAATAATTATTTATAATTTTGGCTACTCTTTGAAAGATAACCCTGTAAATTAACTTGTTTCAGTAGTCCTTTGTTCCGAATTATGAGTCTTTAACTTTTCTATTTTATAAGGACTCAACGTCCTTACAGCACTGTCCCATCAAACAAAGCAAAGTCATTTGCAACGTCTCCCCAAGGACATGTTTGTATTTTTTTTAAATTTGCGCAGCGAGTATTGTTCTCACTTTATGTTTATTTATTTTTACTTTCAAATATTTGATTAAAGTAATTTGTAAATGTATTTGAAAATAAAGGGGGATAAGTCGCTCGCGTCCGTAGGCTATGACCACCTATTGCTAGGCCCACCCTACACGTGTCCCCCGGGTGGTGCTAAATGGGCGACAAGCCGATACCACAGACTCGGCTCCACGCCGTGGTAGCGGCGTAAAACATACTACCCAATATTTTCACACCATGAAGAACTATATAAAAGAAATGGCCCCGAGTTCCCGGCGCCCCTTTAATGGGGCAGGGGTGCGAAGAATCTCCGGGAGGAAAACCGGCGACGAGGTTCGCCACCCGTCACGTTCTGTCTCCCGGAGAGGCGAAAAGTGGATTGCAGAGGCCCGTCTGGCTACGTTGAATGTATGTGGGGCAATGAATGATAAAATGGATGAAGTATGCGATATGATGTATGATAGAGGAATAGATGTGTTATGTGTAAATGAGACGAAAAGGAAGGGGAAGGATGTCACTACACATGGCATGTATACCGCATACTGGTCTGGTGTAGACGAGATCGAGCGGGCATGCCAGGGGGTAGGTATCATCCTTTCAGAAAGAATGGGCCAATGTGTGAAAGAGTATGAATGTGTAAGCCCAAGACTGCTATGGATACGAATAAAAGTGGGCTTAAAGAAGTTGTTTGTGTTAGGGGTCTACGCCCCAGACATGTCTAAGCCCACTTATATCCGAGAGCAGTTTTGGGAAATGGTAAGGATGGTGTTAATGAAGTGTAAGGGAAATGAAAATATTATTATGCTAGGAGATTTTAATGGAAGGGTTGGGGTGAGGAGGCTTGGTTATGAAAGGATATTGGGAACGTTTGGTGATGAAAGTATAAATGAGAATGGTGAAAGTCTCCTCACCGTATGTATGGAAAAGAATCTTTTTGTGACGAACAACTTGCTTTCGCCACAAGAGGATTCACATGTATACTTGGGAAAGAGGTGACGATAGAAGCATGATATATATAATTGTGGATGAAAGATTGAGGGGTGCAGTGGTAGATACAAGGGTTTACCGGGGTTCTAACGTAGGAACGGATCATTATTTGGTTTTATGCCGAATTAATGGTCTATTCAGGCGTTGGCGCCATCGATCATCTGTGTCTACCACTGCGTTACAGCGTATTAGAACAGAAAGGTTACAAGATGAAAGTGAGAGAAACAAGTTCAAATGTAGACTGAAAGAAAATATAAGTGGTTTGGATGAATTATGTATGAAGGAGTTAGAATTGGAGAATGTATGGCAAAATGTAAAGAAAGGTTTAGTGGATGCAGCTACCGAAGTATGTGGTGTTAGTAAGAGGAAGAATGAAAGGAAAAATAATACGTTATGGTGGGATGATGAGATATGTATGGAAGTTGAAGCAAAGAAGAGAGCATGGCTAGATTTACTAGCAACAAAGGCTGGTGATTCTAGCGGTACGAATGATGATATTGAAAGAAAAAAGGCAGTCTTTAAACATCTTAATAAGAGAGTAAAAGAAGTAGTTGAAAGAAAAAAGCAAGAAAGAACGGATAAGAATGATAGAAGAATATCGAATAACTTCCAGGCAAATATTAAAATGTTCTGGAAACTTGTAAGAACTGCCAGGGGACATTCAAATCAGCCTATGATGAATGTTATAAGAGACGAGAATGGCTATATTCTGAAAGATGAAGTTTTGAGTTTAAAGAGATGGAAGGAATATTTTGAAAGCGTGTTTATGAGTGAGGAGACAACGTGTGTACTAAGTGAAGTAGAAACTCCGAAAGAAGAGGAAAGAGGTAGCGAGATGAGTATAGATGAAATAATGAAAGCAATGAAAAGCATGAAAGCAGGTAAGGCTGCCGGATATGATAGAGTTTCACTCGAAATGCTAAGGGCTGGAGAGGAAGTGGTGGCAGGCCTGCTGCACACCTTGTTTAATTTATGCTGGGAACTGAAGCGAGTACCGGTAGACTGGTGCAAAGCCGTAATAGTCCCAGTATATAAAGGAAAAAGGGTCGCAGCAGGACTGTAAAAACTACCGTGGCATCAGCCTTCTTAGCATTGTGGGAAAACTGTATGCTAAGGTACTGATTGAAAGGGTCATGAAAGAAACTGATGGAAAAATTTGGGATGTGCAAGCGGGATTCAGAAAGGGAATGGGATGTACAGATCAAGTCTTTTCCATGCGCATGATCGCGGAGAAGTTTTTGGCCAAAAACCAAAAGGTTTTTTGTGCGTTCATGGACTTGGAAAAGGCC